CCATAGCCTGTTTCGGCCCCCTTTCTCAACGCCATTATCATCTTACCTTGTCCTCGCATATAGTGCTCCTTATCTTTCATCTTAATCGGCATCTTCATACTCATTTTCGTCAGTCAGCGTCGCCACGGTGGGGTGCTTGGACTCTCTCTCTCTCTCTCTCTCTCTCTCTCTCTCTCTCTCTCTCTCTCTCTCTCTCTCTCTCTCTCTCTCTCGCGCGCGCGCGCGCACGCGCGCCGTGAGTGCATGTGCGTGCGTTTGTGTGAACCCCCCCAAAAAAGCACGACTCTGCCAGACTGTTTCGTTGGACCATACCCAGCAAATGCCCCTCCCCTTTTTTTACCCTTGGCAGAAGTGTAACCCCCAACACTAAACACTAAGGCCTCAATTGCCACAGATGCTCAAAGCCCCTCTTTCCCCCTCTTGGCACAAGTGTAAGCCCCCAACCCTAAACCATAAGGCAATCGATTCAGCCCACAGCTTCTCAAAGGCGGCTTTTGAGTCTGCATTTGTCTCCATGGCAGGTTATAGTAGATTTCGTTTAGATTTCAGAAACAGGTTATTTTTAACTTTCTTTCTAGGCTACCCGAGTGGCCCGGGACAGCTTGCCCGGCTGGGCCAAAAATATATATGTTCGACGATATATACATATTTATTCATTAATTTTTTATTTTTTTTAATTGGTAAAGAATTTCGATGTGACCCTGAGGCAAAAGTTGTTCTGTTTATTTTACTGCATAACATAGTTTTTTGTTTTGTTTTTTTTGTTTTTTTTTAGGACCTCGTGTCCTTGCACAGCCAGGCCACCCGGGAAAATAGGGTGACCCGAGCGGCCCAGCTGGTAGCCTAGCTTTTTTTCCCTTTTTTTTGGCCTTTTTTTTTTTGGCCAAAAGCAGAAGGGGAGAGGGGCATGTGAAATCGTTGATTGTTTTTTGCTTTCGTTTGCCCACAGCAGGAGGAGGGGCAGAGCAGCATCAGACGAAACAGGCTATCGCGGTTATTGCGATTTCGAAAGGAGAATCCCCATTCGTGATAGAGAGCAAACAATACAACTCACTCCAGCTCACCTACATCCCATCATAAAATTAACACAGTAAGCAGAAAAATAATAATTTAAATTATTTAATAATGCAAGGAAGATGAGCAATAGCGAACTTCAGCAATCAAACAGCATCATACACATTAGACCAGATAGTCATGACCTCGAACGAAGAGCAGAATTGCATCACGAGTTTCACCAAATAAGAGCACACCAAAAGCTCATAATTGACAATGCTGGAATAGTCTCATCATCATCATCAACGAAGAACCAATGTTGATATCCTATCTGGCACTCGGGGCCCAGACTACAGATGGCAGATCCTATCTAGCCTAGACTACAATGCCGAAGAGGATGACAGCAGCTCTCCCGAAGTACGAGCAGATAGCGGCCAATGCCACACGCTTCCAGCACCAAGTATGTCTCTCGCATCACTCACAACCTCGTTCCCCAACACACAGACGCCACCTGCACCCAAGGACCACCCTGCGCCTCACCCAGCTCCCAGCAGCGCAGCTCGGCTATGGCTGCCTGCTCCTTCCAGCTCGCCCGTGAGCGCGTGCCAGCTTCAGCGCAGCAGCGCTTGTGCAGCATGCAGCCAGCACCCAAATGTCCAATGCGGAGGCAGGTCCTTTGCTATATGGAAGTGGCCTGCCTGCGTTCTGTCCCAGGCTGCGCTGTGCCTTTCCCAAGAAGCTTCCAGTAGGCCCCGGTAGGCTGAGGCCCAGTCTGAAACAAATCAGGCCCAGGGCCTGAGGTGGTTGCTTGTGCCCAACTGCCTTCGGCCTGTGTTTGGCCCACATCCCGTATCCAGCCCAGGGCCTGCCTTTGATACATGAAAACAGGCGGCCCAGGGCCTGGGTTCATTCAACCAACTGGCGCTGCACAACTGCCTGAATTTTGCGTGGTGGCCGAAATAGGGGCCCTCAGGTCCTCATCGAGCCTGCCTTCACTTAGGGCGGCCGGCGTGCTGCTTGACAGGGCCTGAAAGGGGCTCATCGAGGCTGTGGCCTTGCAATAATAATAATAAAATAATAAATGCACAAAAGGTACTCGTGCCTCCGCTGTTGATGGAGGGGGGGTTGGATACTCCCCCATTTCTGTACACAAGCTAACAATTGCCAGAAACGGGCATTGACGATCGGAAAATTTTGAGCTGGCGCAGCTGAGCATATACAGTTCCATTTTGTCTGTTCAGTGGGTAAAAGCTCTGTCCCATTCTTGACTTCTCACCGATACGATCCTGAATTCTGGAGACCACGAATCAGAATCTTCCTCTTTACTAGTCTTTAGGTCTTTGGCTGCTAACGGTCGATGGTTCAACCTCTGTCAGACACATTAATCCCTAAGAAGTAGTAAGAATTGTTTCTATTATTTCTTCTCTTCTTTTGAGGAAGAGAGAGGGAGAGAGGGAGAGAGCTACCTTAGTTCCACAGGCAAACAGAATTAGGCTCATGTGACGGACATCAGATGAGATAAATGCTCGCGCTTACCGATTGGGGTGATGACAAGTTTGGAAAACGTCTCTTGCTCCTTCTCTTTCCTCAGAAAATCTGCTGCTACAGTAATGGGTTCATGAGCATGCACATTTATATCGCTGGGATTGCCGTCATGTAGCTGGGCAGACCGAGTGGGTGAAACTGGGCCATCCTGTGTCCAACAACATTGCACGGTCAAACAACGTGAGCAAGAGGAGCGGGAACCAAGGCAGAAGCACAACACAGGCAGACAATTGTGGGCAAGAGAGAGAGAGAGAGAGAGAGAGAGAGAGAGAGAGAGAGAGGCCGAGGCAGAAGCACACAGGCAGACAATTGTGGGCACAGAGAGAGAAGAGAGAGAGAGAGAGAAGCCAAGGCAGAAGCACACAGGCAGACAATTGTGGGCACAGAGAGAGAGAGAGAGAGAGAGAGAGAGAGAGAGAGAGAGAGAGAGGATCATAGGATTATGAACAGTGGAAGGGAAGGCAAACGGAGAGGGAGGTTAGGGACATATCATGTTGAGAGGTGACATACATCACACAATCACACAATTCATATAACTTAAACAGAAACCGGTATAGCTTCCACAAACAGACCAGTTGTTGAACACAAGGCATTCCATAAAACTGTTCGGAGCAAAACTAAAGGTCAAGAGCTTGCATATAACCGCGAGAAGGATCCGGAGACAAGACTCAGCAACGAACCACTGATTACTACATCAGTCAGCCAGCCACCCATCCCTCCAAGTCACGCAGTCATCCGGCCGGTCTGTCACCTTGCTACACTCACCCAACCAGTTACCCACGCTGTCCTCGCGTCACTCGTCTAGCCACCCAGCCGCTCACCCAACCAGCCAATTAGCCGCCCACTTGATCATCCCAGTCAGTCTGTCAACCTGTCACAGACAGCCAGCAAGCCACTCACACAATCCCCCGAGTCACACAGTGTGTCACCCAGCCAACTTGTCGCTCTGGCACTCAACCAAACCAGTCACTAAAACTGTCACTCATCCAGTCACCTGTGACCGTTCACCCAGCTAGTCAGTCAACCAGTCATCTAAGCCACAGCCAATCACCCAGCCTACACACTCTGTCACCCACCCAACCAGTCAATCACCCTGTCATCCTGTTACCTGCCCACCACTCCCCCGGTCACTCTTTCTCCCATCCTATCGCTCACCCATTCGTGCTTCCAATCACCCAGTCACAGATTAGTGATCCATTCCTGCTCCCAATCACTGGGTCATCCCTCACCCTTGCACCAAGCCAGTTAACCACCAGTTAACCCATGCCACTGACCTCCCC